CCAATGGTCACCAGAGAATTAGCCTCCGTCACATTTAGCCAACGACACCCTTGAGGGGGACAAATATCCAAGTACCACAAGCAAAATTCCGACCAAGTTACGGTTGTACCGACCAAATCTTCATTCAGCATCAAGTTCCCCCGCTACGCCATTCGCAACGCGGACCAATTTTTGTCGCGTTCATTGATCCCAGAGAAGCCTTCGACTCAGTTGAACACAAAGCTCTGATGGGTTCGTTTCTTTGCAAGTTAAGTTAAGCTTTATGCACCAAATAGGATGAATTTTCAGCAGTGGAAGTATGTGAGGCTAGTGAGGTCACTCTACTCGCATACCTCTGGTAGGGTAGGGGTTTGCGGTGTGCGAAGCAGATTTTTCGAAACTAGCAAAGGTGGTCGTCAAGGGTAATCTATTTCGCAATTCATGGTCACTTTTGTCGTAGATGTTGTTGTACAATTTGTAAAAGCTGGACATCAATGGCGGAGATCAGATTCATTTAAAAAAACGGTTCGGTGGGAGCCACGTCGTGACATACAGACACCTCTAAAATACGCACATCGCTTTGTCTTCGCGATATGTTGAAAGGCACATTCTGGTCCAAACAAACCCCACTTAACCTGCTTATACGGTTTTGAGTTTTAAATTCCTTCATTCCTTTAGAAAACATGGGACTGTGTTGTCATTTGGCGAAGATAGTCTAAAACACAAAAATAAATGGCTCTCTCAGCTCGTTGACCAGGAGCATCTCTGAGGGCGTTGTTCCTCTCTGCCACTCCGCGGCGAAGGTCAACCTGCCGGTTTTAGTGTTCGAGGGTAAAGTGGTGCAATCAATCGTGTAACCACGAGAACCTAATGCTTATTTTAGCTCCAAGTGATAAAAGATGAACGTATCGAAGTCGAATCTGCATATTACTGTTTTCCGAAACACATTCGATAAAAAACAGTTCTGTCTCTTTCTCACTCCCACCAATCTGTTATCATTGTGGTCTGATCATTTCAAAACTCACCTTATCAAGGACTTCGGTGTTTTCATGTTTAGTATCGGTACACGAACGACTACGTTTAGCATTATTCCCACAGCGATCTAAATGATTCACTATTCATAATTTTAGTGTGCAATCAACTTCAATTTTTTCCACAATTGCAATACCGACAACCGCTTTGATTAGTGAAGAAACAAACAAAGTGGTCATTATCGTCAAATAGTAATCTACCGACTAACTACTCGGCTTATACCAGTTTTCTTCGTGCCACTCTGCCTAGATTGAGTAAATTGTGCATAAAGTACTGGCCAAACTGAAAACGCAGTAGTTCTCCTTTTCAAGTAGCTAGATGAACTATGGAACGACTCAAACGGGAATATACTGTCAATCAACCCTTCAGTGGTTCTCAAGTTCAACAGGGACAAATATTTCATTCTCTGATCTAGATGTGCATTATATATTGCTGTTACACCACATGTTCAGAAACACCAATGTCCGGCGCCAAAAGAATCTGTAATCGTCGAACCTAGAATGGTAACAGTTCAGTTCAGTTTAGTTCTTGCAAACATTAGATATGCACTTTCGTGCGCCGGTTTAGGTTGCTGTCTTTTGATGCCCCGTTTGGATAAAAGAGCAGAATGAAGGTTAGAATGTTGAAAGCAAATTCACGCGGAAGATGGAGAATTCATATAGAATGGTGTTAGGGGCATAATGAGTGAGCGCCACTGTTTGCGACACCCAGCCATATCACTCAGTGTCTCTAACCATGGATGACCATCATTCCGAGGTCCTCAGCCAGGCATCCTAACGAGGCCGAAGTGACCTAGTCTCCTGGTTAGGATTTTCATACCCTCATACCAGGTCTTTGGTTGACCATCCTTGAAGCTTTTCCAACCGCTACCTGCCTCGGCAAACATCGCTCGCTGTGGCAACCTCTTTCGTGATATGCGTAAAAAATGCCCCATGAATGATAACAAGTATAATCAGTCACAGCTTATCCTTGCATTCGGGTTGATTTGAATACAAGTGATGCATGAGCGCAACATTTCACTACAAGTACCCAGTTAAGTTTCCCAAAGACATACCTTTAACCATCATTTTTGAAAAGCTCAACCCAGGATTCCGTTTCGGTCATTTTCCGAAGAGATTAGTTCATTCTTGAGGACATTTGAGCAAGTGAGGTTCAAACGAGAATAAACCAGTCTAATGGAACTTTCTCATTTGCGATCCAAACTCAGTATCAACAAGTGATTGACTGAATCCCATGTTACATGAGAGCAACAAGTTCGCCAAGATGGGTTGCGCTATATCGTGTAAATGGAAAATGAAAAACGGTCTGATCAGCTGCCTGGTGGCCGAGTGGGTAGAATGCTTGCGTTTCTGCATGTGAGGTTCCGGGTTCGATTCCCAGTTGAGTCGATGCATTCGCACTGCTGACGAGTCTTAACCAGGCTGAACACCTGTCCAGTGCTTCCTAGCTTTTTAGTTCACGCTTCATTTGCCCTATACAGGACGAATTTTCTCTGAAATGGAATCCTATGCGACGACCGTGGACTGCATACTGAAAGTTACCACGACGATGGTTTTTACCTAAGTTAGTTCATGAATAAACTTACTTCTGACGGACAGTTGGAGCTAAAATTTGTCGTCAGAGTTCCCGGTGGATTCAGACGTGAAGTCGTTGGGGGCTGCGATACCGTGGGTGATTCGGGTAACGCTAACACAAGCGGCGCCTGGAGTGCGCTATTGTTTCCACTCGGTTGAACTGCTACCGAAGCAGGATTAGACAGCTGGCCCGATTCGACAACAGTAGACTGTTGGAAGTTGGGTGGAGAGATGCGGGAAAAAGGATATGGATAACGCTCAGGTGAAGTGCAATGTCATTCAAAGAGATCCGTCGAAGCACTGGATTTTGATTGGAACAAGCGGAATTTACGCACAGTGGATGACGTATTTCTCAAAGAAAGAGGACTGTCTGACAGATTTACGTAAAATCGCATGCTGTAGAATAATTTTAATATAAAAATATCAATCTAAAATTGTCAGTGAGTATACAAAGCTTCCAATTATATATTCGAATGTCTTACTTCCCTCAGATGGGTTTTAAATGAAAGCAATTTTCAAGACATCAAAGAACCTCGGAGATCTAAAAACAGCCATGTTCTAGAAGACTAAAGTCCCAATCTCAATTTTATTACTGTAGATAAACTTGGCAGTTGGAAATCACGGTAAGGTACTGTAGAGTTTGAGGTGGCTTATTTCCAAATCCGGTGCACAAGCTCAAAAACACCCGTTTTATGTATAAAGGCGCATCAATGCACTGAACAGAACACATACAGCGGTGAGATCTTGTAGGGCCAACCAAGGGAGTTCATATAACACAGGTAACCACTACTGTACCGGTCACAGGAAAACATACTGCGTCCCAAGTTTGGTCACAGTAACTAGAAGGCGCTCGCGTTACGAGAAGACTAATTGGGCAAGGTGACAGCGTTCCAAGCTACTTCCATATTACAAATCTGAGGGTCAACCGTTTTAATAATTTCTGAATCAGATGGTTCAGTCCGCGTAGGTGTTAATCACGACTATGACTATCCCCGTTCAAAATGCCATTTTCGTATTTAATCTGTACCGGCCAGAAGATGAATCAATGAAAAGAATTCTTCGCCTCTAAATTCGTGTTCTCAATTACGAATATTATCCGATTCGCGTGCTGAGAATTTCAATATCAAATCGACGAATGTAAAAAGGCTTTCTGAAGTCAATTTGAGTCATGCATTCTCACAGGAAGAATCGCAGATAAATTCAACAATATACACACACATTTGGGATTGTTTCAGCAAAATATCTTGCTATTTAACAGCAATGGATCGACAATGTAGTTAAGGATGTTTATAATGTTCACGTGTATCTTGATAATATTCTGGTTTCCGGACTTGATGACCATCGCTCATGAGGGCGCCATAGACAGTCATTTTTTGCTTCACAGGAAGTGCGCTTCAGTTGACAAATATCCCATCGGCAGGTTCTTCACCGACGGAGTACAAAAGTTTGAATGAGACGAGAAAAGCCGAAAATAGATCCCATTTGCGAAAATCTAAGCCAAATTAGAATGCATCGGCTCCGAGAAACGTTAGTTAGTTAGCATCATTTATTGGCACGTGGACACATTATGTTTTAC